ATCTAAAAACTGCGCGGGTTCATTTTTTTTTTTAATTTTTAAGCAAAGCAGAAGGGTGGGGTGGAGTCACGGTGTTGCCCCGTTACAGTCTTTTGTCATTTCCAAGGAGCAAATCTCTAGGGCCGCAGGCCCCCTGCCGAACGCTTTAGTTTACTCAAATATGCAAAGTAATTTACCGGTCACATTATTTATTTGATTATGCACTTCACTAAATCGCGAGACTGAAATGGTCGGGCCGAAGGCCCGACCATCGCCGCCGGCAGGCCAAGCAGGCCCGGCCCCTGCCGAACGGAGTTGCCGGCGCAGCGAAGTGGAGCTGGCAACTCCGTTTGGCGGAAGGGCGGGCCTGCTTGTTTCTGGGTGCAGCTGGCCAGCTGCAGCGCGGGCACTCGAACATCACGGGCGTCGTCTAGCGCGGGGACCTCGGCGTCGGCATGAGCACGGCGGCGGCGGCGCGCAGGGCGCACGCGGCGGGCGGGCGGCGGCGCGGCGGCGACGCCGACCTACTCAGGCCGGGGCGGGCGCTAGAACAAACTCAGGAAACCTACGCGTAATTTCAAAACAAGAACCTCAAACTTCACGTCAGCGAGAGGGTGGAGCAGTTTCTCATAACATAACCCAAAATCGAACCTGGAAAAGAAACGACTGATCAACTGCTCACTTTCCTTATCACCCAATCACTACGTAACAAGTGAGTGCACACGAGTGCAGTGGCGCACACCAACGCATCAGCTCGCGCCTGCAGAGAGTCTCGTCCTTGCATTGGCCTCACAGGCTGCAAGGGACTCGTCTGCATCAGCTGCACATGAGCTGCGAGGGCGCGCCACACGGTATAGAGAGAGCAGGTGCGGCATGTCGTGCAGCGGCTGTAAGACAAGACTCGGTGAAGTACCAGGTGAGCGAGGCTCAGGTGGCGCCAGCGGGTGAGTCGAGTGCGCAGTGCACGGTGCAACAGCGCGATCAGCTGTTCTCGTATGAACGGTGCCGGACAGGACAATTCAATCTGACTGCGATCAGGACTCAAACACCGGCGGAGCGGGTGTAAAAACTTCGAACGTCGGCGCCGACACGGTGGCGTACTCAAGCATCCAGTGCGAGTAATTCCGCAAACGGGTGAAGTGTAGCTGGTGTATTGTGGGCGGGCGTACCGCAAGTCTTGAGAAACCTTTGTGTTTACTCGTGTCCTTCCCCTCCTCTGATAATTAGAAATTTGAGTAGTTGGAAACAAACCAATGGGGTGCATGTGGGCACCAATTTCATTCTCGTTTCGTACAAATGGAGCAGGGATGAGAAAGACGTCACTCAAATTTTAAAAACAAATGCCACTTTCAATTTTATTTTTCTTTAAGAAAATAAAATAAGAGGGTATCCACACTAAAAACACACTCACACGCACTCACACATTCACACACTCTTCAGTCTTGCTGGTCGTTGGTCCTTGGTCCTTCAGGGTCCGGTCAGTAAGGTCAGCGTCGGTCAGTCCTTTAGCAGCTCTTCCTCGTCGAGGTCGTCGAGTTCCGGCAGGTCGTCGGTCTGCAGGCATTCCTGCGCTCCGTGGCCCCGGGTGCCACACAGAAAGCATTTTGATCTGCGATTTGGATTTTTTTTTCTTTTTTTTGGTTTCCTCTTCCGACGCGGATTTTAGGGGTCCCAGTCGGTACACCGAGACTTTGCTTGGACTCTCCGGCGCCATTGCTGCACCCACGTTTTCCTTTTCAGGTTGCGGGTTGGCGGGGAGCATCTCCCCGTCGGTGCTCTGGTCGGCGGGAATCAGACCAAGCCGATCCAGAGCCGACTCCTTTGGCGAGTTAGGACTGCAGTCCCTTGGGGATGAAGTCTCGCTATCGTTCGATGGCGATCGTGAACGAGGTTTATTTTCATAACTGACATTCACGATAATTGATTTGAGCTTCTTCTGGGACGGGAGCGGGACGGACCGCTCACCGTCACCATGTGCTGGTGCTGAAGCCGGCCGCTTTGGGGCTGCGGCCTTGGGGCAGGCGCCGGAGAGGGAGAGCGATGACGGCTGGCCCCCACCGTCGGAGGAGAGTGCCGGCTCCGGCGGGAGGCTTCCTCTTCCTCTCTCCAACGGCGGAGCCAGTCCGGGGCCGGGCTCCTGTTTCTAGCAGCCTCCTCCAACCAATCAATTTGGGGCACTGTAAATTAAAGAGTGAAGTTAAGTGACATGTGGATCAGGGTCATGAGAATTTTCATTGGTCCTGTCCAGTCCCATAGCCGCCCCCCCCCCCCCCCTCGAAGAGAAGTCAACCGGACCAATGAGAATTGGGACAACAGAAAAACAAACTTACTCTCATCATAATCTATCAAATTGATAACTTTGCCCTGATCCTCAGTGCTTGGAGCATCTGTCTGCTCAGATGGAGCCTCTGGGGCAGGGTGATCAATCACATCAAGCCCAGCAGGTTGTGGTGGTGGGGCCTGTTGCTCGGCGGTGGAAGCCGTAGCTGCCACAGGCTCAGGAGGTGGAGTTGGTGGGGCAGTGCTAACCACAGCTGCTGGTGGGCCCAATGGTGTAGGGGCAGCAGCGGTGAAGATAAAAACTGGCATAAATGCCTGCTGCTTGCGACCTGAAGAACAATCACATTCACGAAATAAAGCAATTGAACTCTGATAGTGTTCACCTGGCGTGTACATGCAGGAGTGCTCGACCATTTTGCACACTTTAACGTGTTTTACTGGATATTTGAATATTTTCAAGTATCCAACGGTAAAGTTGAACACTTTGAAGTGTCCAAAGCTACATGGCCAACCCTGATGATGAACACTGTTCAGTGTTCAGCTTTACTGTCAACACTCAATAGCTTTTAAATATCCAGTCAAACACGTTAAAGTAGGCAACATAGTGTTCAGCTCTACGTGTGCACGCCAGTTGAACACTTTCTTTATCAGTGAAGATTCGTCACACTCAAAGGAACCTAATAACTTTATGTGAAGCGAGTCAATATTGGACTATTAGTTACGAGGGGGGAACGACTCCCCTGCTATTGAACACAATTCCAAAATAGTTGAATCCAACAGACTTATTCCTGCTGTGTGCATATAGCATCTGCAACTTTGTCGAACACTTTGACAAGCGCAACAATCTAACCAATGCGGTGAACGAGTCACAATGATTGGCTCAATGAGAAGTCAGTACGTGATGTGAATGACAGAGTCACACGCTGCAGTATAGTTTTGAAAAAGAGTTATAAAGTTAAGCGAACAACTGGACTCACCTGGCTGATTCATGAGCGATGCAATTGCACTTATGGCTGCTGAAGCCTCCGGTGGGATGGCATCTGGCAGCTCTATTCCCTGCTGCTGCACAGGCTGGACAGCTTCAATAACTTCTGTGGGCTCCAGTGTGTCCTCCACTTTCAGGACGTCGTCAGTTTGAGCAGAGACCTGCTGCTGCTCTTGAAGGTGCTGCTGGGCTTCATCACCAACGGCCGCATCGCCCGCAGGCAAACTAAAACGCTTGAGGTGCTTAGCCCGTATATCACTTGGATCCATCCCTACAGGACAACATTAGCTCGTTAGACACGTCGCAAGGTTGCCAAAAGGACCGATATGAAAGGAATAGAACATATGCCGCGTTGTCTTCGGTCGAAACAAACACAAGCACGCTCATTTAGGTTAAGTCGCGAAGAAAGCATCTCAATTAAAACAGCAGCAGCGAACAGTGCCGATCAGACACGAACCGAACAAATAAGCTCACTGAATGAAAAGTGTGAGTGATGCGAGGGTTTCGGTAAAGTGAACCTGCCTACGACGCGGCAATGGCGTGTTTGCCATGCGCCCTCTGCTTTGGATTGATTGTGACGCCTTTTGCCCATTCAATTACTTTTTGGAGTCGTTAACGTGCAAGCAATGTTGGAACACACCACAATTCAAATTAACCGAGGTCGGAATGTATAAAACTAATAAAGGCCTTAGACTGGAACAACGCAACGGTAGAGCCGCGCCGCCATGGAACCATACACCCGCCATGCCTCAATCACCCCATTTCCCCGCTATGAATGGAACGCCCGCGTTCGATTGATGAATAAATCACTATGCCCACCGCACTCATAATCGGACGTGACATTACACCCAACAAATAAAGCAAAGGCACTCAGTACAAATCCGCCCAAACACTTACTTTGTTCGTTCGGCCAGCAACGATGTTCACCAGTCGGAGGTTGAGGGCGGAAAGAAAAACGTGATGCGACGAAGTAGCTCGGCTGCAGCTCATGGAGGGGAGGAGACTAAGGGTAATTGTCTACTTTAGTGACTCCTCGCCCTGGAGTCACTCAAGTATACCATCGGAAAGGTATTTTTCAGTAGAATCCTGAACAGTATTTATATATTGGCGCTCGAGTCTGGTTGTCCTCAAAATTAAATAAATATGCGTCGCCGCTAACCTTCAGGTGCACTTTGAAGACGGCAGAATAACTTA